CTTCTTAAGCGTCCGGAAGAAAGGAGCGGCCTTGTCCGCGGATCGGGGGATGAAACGCCCCAGGGTCGCTAACCTTCCTGCCAAGCCTTGCACCTCCTTGGGCGTCTTTGGTGGGGTCAGTTGGAGGATGGCGTCCACCTGTTTTGGGTTGGCCTCGATGCCCCGCTTGGTGATCATGAACCCCAGGAACTTACCTGCCTCAGCGCCGAATACGCACTTAAGCGGGTTGAGGCGGAGCCTGTGCGCCCACATAGCTTGGAACGTCTCCCGCAAGTCTTCCAGGTGGTCTTCACGCCTTCGACTTTTGACTATTAATTCGTCCACGTAGGCTTCCACGTTTCGACCAATTTGCTGACGGAAGACGCTGTTGACCATCCTTTGATATGTGGCGCCCGCGTTTTTGAGCCCAAATGCCATGACCCGATAGCAAAAGTTTCTGAAGGGCGTTATGAAGGCTGTCTTAGATCGGTCTTCCTCTGCCATAGGGATCTGGTGGTACCCAGAGAACATGTCCACGAAGCTCAGCATCTCATGGTACGCTGTGGAATCCACAAGTTGATCTATCCGGGGCATCGGATAGGCGTCCGTTGGACATGCTCTGTTGAGGCTTGTGTAATCCACGCACATTCTCCAATCTCCTGACGGTTTCGGCACGAAGACCACATTCGATAGCCAAGTAACATAAGAGGTTTCTTCTACCAAGTTGGCGCCCATGAGCTTATCCACCTCCACCCTGAGTGCCGCCTCCTTCTTCGTCGATAGGTTCCTCCGCTTCTGCTGCACGGGGCGTCTACCCTCTTCGACCGCCAATCTGTGCACGGCCGTTTCGGGGGTGACGCCCGGCATTTCTAACGCACTCCAGGCAAAAAGTTCCGCGAACTCCCTCAGGAGGGCGATGATGCGCTCCTTCATCTCGTCGGGTGCCTCTGCCGATATTCTCACCTGCCTTTCCGAGCGTCCTTCATCTAGCTATATCATAAGCTCCCTGTCGGCAGCTTCGGCTCGGGGCGCCTCTTCTGCCACGATTTCCATTACGTTGACCCTTGCATCGGAAGACCTCCGCTTCCGTCCCGTTTCCTTCGCATACCGCGAGGCGCCTCGCCCCCGGGCTACTCCTACTCCTTGCGGAGCGATGAACTTTAAGGTTTGATGACATGTAGAGGCCACCCCATTGAATAAGGCCAGGAGGGGTCTTCCCAGGATCGCGTTGTATGGTGACGGGCAGTCCACTATCCCGAAATCGATGGCACGCGTCACCCTTTGCTCCCCATCTCCCAAGGTGACCGGCAGGCGGACTCACCCTATCACTCTTGCGGGCGCCCCTGAGAAGCCGACCAACACCGACTCCTATGGTCTGATAAGCTCCGGCGATAGTTGCATGCGAACCATTGTATCCTTGAACAACACGTCCATCGAACTTCCCGTGTCAACGAGCATCCTTCTAACCTGGAACCCCGCCACCACTCCTTGTATTTCTAGGGCGTCCATGGATGGGAGCATGCACGCTTCCTCTGGCGCCCTGTTGAAGCTGATATCGATCGCCTCTTGCACATCTGCCGATGCTACTCTCAGGCGGCGGTTGGCCTCTATTTTTTCCCTCAAGTCCACCGTTCCTGAAATAGCCTCGATGGTGAGGCGTACCCGTTCGGGCGCATTTTCTTGGTCAAGGTCATAGGGCGGGGGTGGTAGCTCTTCTCTCGCATTTTCCATACCGGCCACGCACGCCCGGTGCACTCTCCCCTCAGGCTTCTTGACGAAGTCGTTGAGCATCCCTCTGTCGGCCAGGCCTTGCAACTCAGTTTTCAGTTGATAACAGTCGGTTGTATGGTGTCCCACCTCTCGGTGAAAGTCACAATATCGATCCAGATTCCGTTCATTGGGCTGCCCCCTCATGGGGCCCGGCCACCTGATTTGATACCCCTTCTCCTTGACATGCTGAAGTATATTTTTCAGTGTGTCAGTGTTCTCAGCAAAGGCTCCTGCTCCCCTGGACGCCGGGCGTCCGACGTCCATCCTTCTCGGTGGGGGAGGATTCGAGGGCGCATACCCCAAACCGCTCGCAGGGTGCGGCCTCCTTGTCATCTCAACCTCTTCCCCTCTTGTCTTCCGCCTGTCTGCCCTCCTGGCTGCCAAAGTTTCTTCGAGCATGATCACCTTCTGCACTCTGCGATCCAGATCTTCAGTACACACAACGCCTCTTTTTGCCAGTGACCTACACAACTCCTCGCTTGTGGTACATTCGTTCAGGCACACTCCCAATACCGACGGCTGCGCATCTTTCACCGCCAAGGCCACGGACAGCCACCTTTCATAAAACTCCCTCAGCGTCTCTCCATCTCTTTGCTTGACCTTGAACAGGGCGCCTATGGTCAGGGTGCGACGCTTCCGGCTGGCGAACTTCGCCAGAAACATCTCCGCAAATTTCTCAAAGCACTCGATGCCCCCTCTTCAATCTAGTAGTACCAGTCGAGGACCACGCCGGCGAAAGTTGACGGAAACACTTTGCACAGGGTGGCGTCTGTACTGTTGTAGAGCTGCATCTTGGTGAAGTATCCATTGAGGTGGTCCTCGGGATCAGCGGTCCCATCATAGGTGGGGAGCGGGGGGATGTTGGTCCCCGCAGGCTCCATCAGTATGTTACGCACCAAGAGCTGTTTCACGGGGCCGTGACGTGACAGGCGCCCCAAAATTCATCCGTTACATCCCCCTGCGTCCGGCCCTTCGTACTCACGTGGGCGCCACAAACTGGGGCGCCTCTGGTATCCCGACTCACTTTCTGTCTCCGCCACCCTTTCTCTTTTCTTCGTTGGGCTGGGAGTCATCCCTCCGCCCCTTTTTAAAGCATCGATCTCCCTTCGAAGCGCCTCAATCGCTATGTCTTGGTCTTCGATGATTCTAAGCAGCTATTTCTTCGTCACCGAGGCGCCTTCCGACCCTCGGAACACGCCATCGCTTTCCTCACCTTCTTCCATCTCTGGCGTCAGCCCCCTAATCCGCCCCGACTGGTCCTCCGTAATCTCTTCTCTTTCTCTTTCATCATTCATTGACGTCTCCTCACTCACGACTCCTAGTTAGGTTATATTCCCCCTCCTGGCGCGCCAATTGTTTGAGCCACGATACCCACCGATTCTCCTTAAACTTCACTTCGTCTGGCGCCTGCCTACACACACACACAAAGAGGAGGGCACCTGGGCCCGTTAATCCTCTGACGCCCAAGTTAGTTCCTTAGAGAGGGAAGTGTCCCGAAATAGGAATTCTAGTGAGAGAGTCCAACCTGTGTAAATGCTACCAACTGCCCCTATTTATACTCACCGAGCTCGAGGTTGATCTCCTCCACGTCACTGTCTCCATTTAATGCCTTGTACCCTTCTTGTCAGATATCTCAACCACCTTGTCAGGCTTCTGACGCGCTGGCAGGCGCCTGTCGGCTGTGGACCACCTGACAACCTGGCCTCCTTTGGCTTTTAGTGTTTTGTCCACATGCGCCCCTTATCTCTCTTGGGGCCTAGGGATGCTTCACCAGCCCATTTGTGGGCCTTGCCCCCCAATTCTGTTGCCTGGAGGCCCAGCACACTGGCTGGTGGGTAGTACCCCCAACAAAAAATAAAAAAATAATAAAAAACAATGGCGACCTTTGATTGGGGCTGAACGAACACCGCCTTTCACATTATAAAAGACAGAGCACTATCTTAGTCCCGGAAACCAACTGCCGCATAGAGCTCGGGTGTTATCGAATTAGAATCCTTCGTTAATTCTCTGTAAAGCTTCATCATAAGCGCCATTACTACAAGTCGGTTTTCGCCCCTAGGGGAATAATTAACAATGATTCATCATCATGAATTCATGATGATGGATGGACAAGTACATATAGGGAAAGGGTAGCGTAGGAATGCTATTCTGGTGCTTATTGTTTTGGTAGTGAAGCTAATTCATGATGATGGATGGACAAGTACATATAGGGAAAGGGTAGCGTAGGAATGCTATTCTGGTGCTTATTGTTTTGGTAGTGAAGCTAAATTTTATTGGTAGTGTTTACATTGTGTAGGAATGGTATTATGATGCTTATTGTTTTGGTAGTGATGCTAAATTTTATTAGTAGTGTTTACAATGGGTAGGAATGGTATTCTGGTGCTTATTGTTTTGGTAGTGATGCTAAATTTTATTGGTAGTGTTTACATTGTGTTATTAGCGTATATCTGTTTCGATGGATTGATATTCAATATTGAAAATGAGTTGCTTGACCACTTCCAGAAATACCAATATCATTATAGAATTAAAACAAGAAATCAATGCCAAAACATAAAAAATAAAAAATAAAACTATACCAATACAACCAATCGAGAGGAACCAATACAACTACGGAAAAAATAGTACCATTACACGGCAAAATCTACCAATATAAATAATCTATATCATTATAAGAATCAAACCAATACCAAAATCAACCAGCACCACTACTACAATACAAACAAAACAATATCATTCCATAAATCAAATCACTACCGCTGTGAAGACCAAATAAATATCATTCCATACCACTATGAAAAGCATATATGGACTTTCAAAAACCAATTGCGAGAGATGACAATGACATCGTTGTTGAATGATAAGGCTGCTGCTGTGTGGCTTCCTTGTTCGATCGGAATTCCCATCCCCGTCACTCCAAAGGCGTCTCCTCCACCGACGTCACTGTCGACCCCAACCGCAACATCTGGTTCCGCCATCGCCATTGCCATCTCATGCAGCCGTCTCCGAGAGAGAGAGAGAGAGAGAGAGAGAGAGAGAGAGAGAATACACGCAGCGGTGGTCGGGGGTAACCGGAGGGGAGGCAGGCCGCTGCAGTGGCCGAGGGTGGCCGGCACGGAGTCATCGTCGGGGATGGTGTAGGCGGCCAGCGTGATTACTAAAAAACAAGTAATCACCATAACCCATTCCATAGGGAAACAGAAGACCCAGATGGGATGTGAATTTGGCATGAGAAGCAGAGGGAACAGAAGGTACTTCGTATTATGTAAGAACTAAAAAGGATGTGAATAATCCTGCGGGCTTCACTTAAACAATAGAATTAGTTCTGCAAAAAGAAAATACAAGTACAACCACTATTAACTCACAGCTTAAAATGAGGGCTTCAATCGCTGCGGATAATAAGTTTACAGGTTTGATCTTCTCTGGAGAACGAATAAAGCAGATATTGAGTTGCTACCATTTATGTTTTTCCCTGGCGAAGCACTCATACAAAGCATTATGGCTAAAGAGAGGAGCAATAATAGGGGAATGCCTTCTAAGCTTACACACAGTAACTGTTTCAAGCGCTACCACGTTCTAGCCAGAGGATGACGGCCCTGGCAATATCTGAAATGGGACTCACCAAGCATCAAACCATAAATTACAAGAATATATCACGGAGTAGCTTCTTCCACTGCTGTCAAGCTCAACAGACATCATCGTTAAGCTAAGGTATCGGCCTTTGATACTTAATCGTACTCTAATTCGTCGGGAGTAATAGGCCGTTTAAGAGGGATGATTGATTTCTTGTCCACGTCACGAGATAAAGCTTTCCTCATATCTGAAAAAACATCACAAAAGAAAAAATTACAAGTTGAGAAACAATCTGGGGAAAAGAACATGAAAGGAGTTTGGTGATGATACTTCAGCATGATCTCACAATGCCTACCTAAGCCATCTTCCTCTCCAGAGTAGTAGCGAAGCACCCGTCTGTAGATTACATATCCAAGCTGCAACATAAACAAATAAACACACACATTGAGTTAGAATCAGATTAGTTGTTTTAACTGGCACAAAATAATTCATCGTTTTATTTCCCAGTATTCTCTTGGTTAGCCAGAGAGTATTGTTCAGAAATTGAGAGCATGCCAATGCATTCTCATATCCTCTACTCTATTAATGAGACAAAGAAACAGAACACCAGACCTAGTTCCTGCAGAAATCTAAAAACAAGCTGCTGATATTTTCCAGTGACATTAACCCATACACAGATATACCTACTTACCCAAGGAACATTCAAGGAGCTAATATTACAAATCAAAAGAAGTTTTATACGTGGTAGTTATCATCATCGGAACTGAAAAGACTAAGCTGGTGAATAGTTGTAAATGAATTCACAGCAACTCATTGACTATACTTTGGATTTGATTAAGTGACCCAACAGAGCTGCGAAAGCTATTACTTGATTGTGCTGAACTTGGATGAAAGCTCAAAGGTTCAGCAAGCAGAAGGTGAAGCATAGTTTCACAACTAAATCAGGGGCGAAGCATCAAGCAATTATTCTAGTATTTTCATTCCATGAGGCAGCTGAGGGAAGAACTTCCATTATTCTGACAATAGACTATAGAGCTAAAGTTACCCTCACATTCTTGTTAAGCAAAAAGGCAGCCTTATTATCTTCACTCTCTTGTAGTTCTAAAGTGCAATTATATTGTGAGCTGTGAGGTTAGAAGGTAACAACAAAAAAAGCTCCATGAAATGCAAAATCAAGGGAAAAAATGATGTTGTGGCTATCTAAAACCTGGTGCCTGAGAGATGGTCTTTAATATAAAAATAAGAATGAGGAATTGGAAGGGAAGGGAAGAAACTATTACCTTCTCATACATCTTTATCGCGGGTGTATTTGATGCTCTCACAAAAAGATCCACGAAGTAGCCCTTATCACTGAAGCAAGCCTCTTGTTAAAAGCATGAATAACACAAAAAAAGAAGCAAAAGTGTAGAACAAGTGACTTTCAAAGAGTATCTTAATCAATATGCAGAGAACTTCGTATCACGTTATCGAAAACAAGGTTGAAATTGCACACAATCATCATATATCACATCATTCAATGCCACCACATAAAGAACAAATACAACTTCAATCAGCAGCAGCAGCAGCAGTAGACAATAATCTCAGACAGGATCGATGTATAATGTCACCGTTCTGATTGGTCTTTAATAATCTCAGGCAGCTCATTGTTAACACAATTTTGCAGCAGAATGAGCAATCAATCAATCAATTGGGCAGCCAAAGAATTTGGGAAAGGAAATCCATACATCTTGTCGCTGATATCTTCCAGCAGGTTCATAAGCTTCTTGGCCAATTGCTGCCGGCGGTATTCCGTAGCCACCGTAACCGCAGTGACATGGCCGTGCCACGACTCGCCTTGTCCTTCTACTTTCCCCATAACTGAAGGTAGAAAGAACCAAACGAACTCAGTTGAATTGCAGGGGAAAGGAAGAAGGGGGAGAAGTGAAAATTGGTAAAAGAGACTCCTCACTGTATCCCATGACTTTGTTGCCGGGGGCTTCGGCGACGTGAAAATAGTCGGGCCATCTCGCCAAGTAGGTCATGTAAAATGACATGTTGAACTACGAAAGTCGAACGCCATTGATGGTGAGAAAATCCAAGGGGAAGCAGAGATTGGGCCGAGGGAGAGATCTTACTTACAGTTTCAGTGAGATGGTCGAGGTTCACGGAAGTGAAGCGGAGAAGGTCGTTGCAGCAGAACCGCCGTATCGTCGCCATCTCTCTCTCTCTCTCCTTGGGGTTTTGTGTTCTGTTCTCCGACTTCTGACTTCTGAGTTTCGAGATGCAAACGAGCCCTTCTAGTGTGCTCTATAGCACACATGCTATAAAAAAGGTAAGGAGGTAAACCCATTAAATGACTGGTCCCACATCATTAATGGCAATCTTGTAAATAATGAATCAATGTATACAAGTGTAGGTACAAATTAGAGTTGTACCATATCGTATAGGTACAAGTTTCAGCTGTACCATTGAAGAATTTGTTTCACAAAGTGTAGGTACAACTTAAAGTTGTACCATTAGTATAGGTACAATTTTGAGTTGTACCATGAAGGGATTTATTAGAAAGTGTAGGTACAACTTAAAATTGTACCATGTTATAGGTACAAGTTTGGGTTGTACCATAAAAGAATTTTGAGAAAGTGTAGGTACAACTTAAGGTTGTACCATTAGTATAGGTACAATTTTTAGTTGTACCATAAGGGATTTGTTAGAACGTGTAGGTACAACTTAAAGTTGTACCATGGTATAGGTACAATTTTGGGTTGTACCATAGAAGGATTTTTAGAAAGTGTAGGTACAACTTAAAGTTGTACCATGGTATAGGTACAAGTTTGGGTTGTACCATAGAAGGATTTTGAAAAAGTGTAGGTACAACTAAAAGTTGTACTATTAGTATAGGTACAATTTTGAGTTGTACCATAAAGAGATTTATTAGAAAGTGTAGGTACAATTTGAAGTTGTACTATTAGTATAGGTACAATTTTGAGTTGTACCATAAAAGGATTTATTAGAAAGTGTAGGTACAACTTAAAATTGTACCATGTTATAGGTACAAGTTTGGGTTGTACCATAGAAGGATTTTGAAAAAGTGTAGGTACAACCTAAGGTTGTACCATTAGTATAGGTAAAAATTTTAGTTGTACCATAAAGAGATTTGTTAAAAAGTGTAGGTACAACTTAAGGTTGTATCATTCGTATAGGTACAATTTTTAGTTGTACCTTAAAGGGATTTGTTAGAAAGTGTAGGTACAACTTTATGTTGTACCATAGTATAGGTACAAGTTTGGGTTGTACCATAAAAGGATTTTGAAAAAGTGTAGGTACAACTAAAAGTTGTACCATTAGTATAGATACAATTTTGAGTTGTACCATAAAGAGATTTATTAGAAAGTGTAGGTACAACTTAAAGTTGTACCATTAGTATAGGTACAATTTTGAGTTGTACCATAAAAGAATTTTGAGAAAGTGTAGGTACAACTTAAGGTTGTACCATTAGTATAGGTTCAATTTTTAGTTGTACCATAAAGAGATTTGTTAGAAAGTGTAGGTACAACTTAAAGTTGTACCATGGTATAGGTACAAGTTTGGGTTGTACCATAGAACGATTTTTAGAAAGTGTAGGTACAACTTAAAGTTGTACCATGGTATAGGTACAAGTTTGGGTTGTACCATAGAAAGATTTTGAGAAAGTGTAGGTACAACTAAAAGTTGTACCATTAGTATAGGTACAATTTTGAGTTGTACCATAGATGGATATGTTAGAAAGTGTAGGTACAACATTAAGTTGTACTATAGTGTATAGGTACAATTTTTAATTGTACCATAGAAGATTTTTAGGAAAGTGTAGGTACAACTTTAAGTTTAGTGTAAAGGTACAACTCTAGAAAGTGTAGGTACATCTTAATTCCACGGCTGTTATTTTGACAAAATGAGCTGTGCGAACGTTTGAGTGGCAGCTGTGTGTTTCAATTGAATGTGAGATTTTGACGGGCGTGACAATGTCAAGTAGTAGCCGTGAAATTTCCTGGGATAGTGAGAACTGCTCTTTGCATGTCACGGGACATCTCACGGTCGTGATATTTGCCTGAGGAATGAAACACTGCTTTTTACATCTCACTTGAGTATTTTACGGTCGTGAGATTACCAGTATAAGGTGTCAGATTTCCAGTAGGAGACTTTCACCTGTGGAACATCTCACGGCTTATTCTCACGCCCGTGAGAATTAACAGATGAGCCGTGAGGAGTACAGCATTCAAGTCCAAAACACGGCTCATCTCACGGCCGTGATACTGTCGAAGGCAACCCGTGAAAACCTCTGGGAAACTGAGAAGTGCGTTTTTACATCCACGGTCTCTCTCACGGCCTATCTCACGGCCGTGATATTTCCAGAACTACAAATCCAAAAACACGCCTTCTTTCACGCCTCCAATTAACAGATGAGCCGTGAGAAGTACAGCATTCAAATCCAAAACACGGCTCATCTCACGGCCGTGATACTGTCGAAGGCAACCCGTGAAAACCTCTGGGAAACTGAGAAGTGCGTTTTTACATCCACGGTCTCTCTCACTGCCTATCTCACGGCCGTGATATTTCCAGAATTACAAATCCAAAAACACGCCTTCTTTCACGGCCGTGGGATTTCCAGAATTGGCCGTGAGATTTCCAGAAATAGTCTGCACAGACATTCACCTGTAGAACTAACCCTTGTACTTATTATAATGGTGTAAGTAACATAATATACTGTTTGTGAAAACTACAAACTTATGAAAAAGATGATTCATAATGTTCTCTAAACCTTGACACGAGCATTACATAGATCCATTCACAATGTTCTCTAGTAACTGTACATCATATCAGATGAGATACCCTATTAACAAAAAGTAAAACGCAGTCAAAGCATTACATTTGTCTAATAAAACAAGCATCCATAACACGATTAAATCTGTCTAATTAATGCTTAAGTTTAGCTGCATGTAGCCCACACTAGTGCATCATAATATTCTAATTGGAAAACATACAAGCACAAACGCAAACACACATAGCTAAGTACTAAGGACTTTGGTTGGCTCATCTTCACTGCCCATCTTTCTCGTTAGTGTTCTTGTCCTCGTCTTTGTTTTCCTGGATTTGCTCATCTTCATTGTCCTCGCTAGAGTCACTGCCCTCTTCCTCATTGGTGTCATTGTCCTCTTCACTGCTTTCCTTGTTTTGTTCATCGTCGTTGCCCTCGTCGTCCTCTTCACTGCTGTCTTCCTCATTGGTCCCTTTGTCCTCTTGATTTTTTCCTTGTTTTGGTCATCGTCGTTTCCCTCGTCGTCCTCTTCACTGCTGTCTTCCTCATTGGTCTCTTTGTCCTCTTGATTTTTTTCCTTGTTTTGGTCATCGTCGTTGCCCTCGTCGTCCTCTTCACTGCTGTCTTCCTCATTGGTCCCTTTGTCCTCTTGATTTTTTTCCTTGTTTTGGTCATCGCCATTGCCCTCGTCGTCCTCTTCACTGCTGTCTTCCTCATTGGTCCCTTTGTCCTCTTGATTTTTTTCCTTGTTTTGGTCATCGCCATTGCCCTCGTCGTCCTCTTCACTGCCCTCTTCCTCATTGGTGTCATTGTCCTCTTCACTGCTTTCCTTGTTTTGTTCCCTTCCTTTGTCCTCTTGTTTTTTTTCCTTGTTTTGGTCATCGCCATTGCCCTCGTCGTCCTCTTCACTGCCCTCTTCCTCATTGGTGTCATTTTCCTCTTGTTTTTTTTCCTTGTTTTGGTCATCGCCATTGCCCTCGTCGTCCTCTTCACTGCCCTCTTCCTCATTGGTGTCATTGTCCTCTTCACTGCTTTCCTTGTTTTGTTCCTATCCTTTGTCCTCTTGATTTTTTTCCTTGTTTTGCTCATCGTCATTACCCTCGTCATCCTCTTCACTTCCCTCTTCATTGCTTTCCTTGGTTGGCCTAGGAGATAGTTCCCAAGGTCTTGAGAATTTGTTGTAGTCAATCCTCAAGGACCTCATGATCTGATGGTTGCATTCGATGATGTAGCGTCGAGCTTCCTTCTCTCGATCGAGGCGGGAGAGAATGAGTGCATTTTGCTCCAGAATTTGGGCATTCTGCCGACCCAATGCCTCAAAATGGGATATTTAGCTGTCGGTGGATGATCCGGCTTGAGTCGTAGTTTGGTGATGTTGTGCAGGTTGTTCCGGAGTCTCCTCTACCATTTGCTGAACAACATGCTCCGATGCGTTTGCCTCATCTATTGCAAGAGGTGGAGCAGGATGAGGGAGGCCAACAATGCCTACCACACCATTCTCCTTAACCACCAAACACAGACGTGATCAATATCAGAAGCATTAGTTACATTTGCTCAATGTTCAAAAGGAACTAGATTAGGAGGCAATCCAAAACTTGCACAAAATCAATCCTAGATTGTTTGAATCCCGACTAGTTCTGTTTTAGCATTCACTGTGAAAAGGAAAGTGTTGGTTGGAACATTTACCTTTGACAACAAATTTAGATCCGCAAGGTTTTTTTGGGAGATTGGTTGAGTGGACTGGGCAATGGTGCAATGAGAACCCACCGGATCAATGCCAAAATGCCGAGCTAGCCTTGTGATGTAGGCACCTCCATGGATGGTCTTGATTTGTTTGTTGGAGGTCATCTTCTGTAGGGTTTTCAATATGACTAAACCAAGATGAATTGGGGGATCTTTTACCATAGAGAGGAAAAAGTTCAAATCCCGCTTGGTCACACTCCCTGGGCTCCCCTCCCTAGCTGCCACAGAATGAGCGATAATGTTGTGGATGATACGCCACGGGGGAAGAAGATCATTCCCTTAATAGTGGGCAGGGTCAGACTTTGCCACATGGTTTTGTTTTACCCTTGTCCACATAGCATCGACCGATGGTGCTCTTGGATGATATATTTTCTCTGAAATAAAACCATGTCCATCTGTGGTGAGAAATCCTGGTGGGTATATCTGGAGTGCCTCTGTGAACTCAGTGATGCTCATCTGTCTCGCCTGTCCTCCAAGGCGAAAAGTTATGTTGTCTTCGGGCTTGTCGAGGTTAAACTCGGACATTCTCTTGATGGAGAGAGTGCTGAGGAACTCAATGGTAAGCTCTCGGTAGATGACCTCATTGATGGAGAGAATCTCACACCATGCCGGGAGACGGAGGCATGTGCGAACGGGGTCCGCTGCTCCGAGGCGCTCTAGGATATCCCAATCAAAGCATCTTTGCTGCCCAAATGGGAGGGGAAGGAAGCGCTCCAAAGCCCTCCTATGTTCGACGGGTAATTGGAGGAAGCCGTGAAGTCTCCCTCCTCCAAGTTGAGCCTCCGCTTGTGGTGG